TGGTTGTTTAAGATTCTGGACCCTAAAACTGGGAAGGAAATGTCTGTGATGATCTCGGTGGATGATGGGATTCGGCCAAACACAAACATTGCAGACTTGTCCAAGCTGAAGCCTGCATTCAAGAAGGATGGGTCTACAACTGCAGGTACTTGTCAACGTCTGAAAGCAACTTTCCTTATCTGTGTCAGCAATGGTGGACTTATGGTTCTTGTCCAAATCTATGTCAGGTAACGCTAGCCAAGTGAGTGATGGTGCTGGAGCAGTCCTCCTTATGAAAAGGAGTTTGGCTGTTCAGAAGGGACTTCCCATTCTTGGTGTTTTCAGGTACTTATCTTTTCCTGGTTGTTCCTAATTCCTATCACGTCTATCTTTCTGGACCAGGTGGTGTGTACAGTTTAATGCACTTGGTTGCCTAGTTTGGTAGTCCAGAAATATCTGGTATCCGTTCCCTGGTTTTCGAATCCTCGAGGATCTTAAAGTTTTTTTTTTTGGTTTGATAAGTGCTTATTAATAATGAAAAACAAGTTAAACAAAAAAGGACAGCACAGGATCACAAGGTCTGATCCTGGCTGACCACAGTCACATAAAAACAAGACAAGAGAGAAAGCAAGAGCAGAGCCAGGTCAACCGAATCACCCACTGCATCTGCATAGAGAACACAACAAAAACCCTGAACAACAACGCGCCACAACCAAATCTCAACACTTACCAACAACAAAGTTGCACAATAATGTCAGCCCCAAGGCTGAACCAAAACAAAACTCCCATCAAGGAGAAGAAACTGGTATTGCACGAACCTCACAGCTATGTTGCTTTGTTTCTCCCCTGTTCAGGAGTTTTGCTGCTGTGGGTGTGGACCCTGCTGTGATGGGGATAGGTCCTGCTGTTGCGATTCCAGCTGCAGTGAAAGCAGCTGGACTGGAGCTTGCTGACATCGACCTCTTCGAAATTAATGAGGTGAAATTGGGTTTGGATTTCTTAGTCCCTTATTTTTTCTGTTTTTTCCCCCTTCTGAGGCGATAGTGGTGAGTAGTAGCAGAAAGAAAGAATGCATGGTTTGATATCCAAACATCATTTTTGTCCTTGATTACCTTCCAGGCCTTTGCATCTCAATTTGTCTACTGTCGCAAGAAGCTAGAGCTCGATCCAGAGAAAGTCAATGTTAACGGCGGTGCAATGGCTCTTGGGCACCCTTTGGGTGCCACAGGGGCTCGCTGTGTGGCCACTCTTTTGCATGAGATGAAGCGTCGAGGAAGGGACGCTCGTTTTGGAGTCATCTCAATGTGCATAGGTCTGTCTCCAGAATTTTGGCTTCTCCATTCCCAATGCATGACTTTCATTTCCGAATCTGACTTTTTCTGCAACTGCAGGCTCAGGAATGGGAGCTGCAGCTGTTCTCGAACGAGGAGACTGCGTAGACGAACTTAATAATGCACGAAGCGTTGGCAACTAGTGGCACCCTCGTATTTTGCCTTTTCGTTACGTTCCAATTGTCAAATCCACAACATCAGCGACTTGCGTGTAATGCAAGGATGCTGTTTAGAGTGCTAAGTATAAGCTCTACTGTTAGTGGCCATCTAATGATAGCTGCCAGTACTAAAAGAGTATTCACCGAATAATTTCGTCTGTTTGAGCTGGATTTAGCAACGGTCCTCACCTTCGTTTTATGAGACATCTTTTTTTTTCTTCTGCGTGTGAAATTTATGAGACATTTTCACAGCCTTCTAATCTTTATTTTCTACTTATAAAATTTGTTTTTTTCAAAAAACTTCTCGAAACAATCCTCAGTTGATTTATTATGGGAGTTAATATTTAAAAATTGAAAAATTTTGCCCTAAATTTGAGAAATGGACACCTTTGCCCGTAGCCCAATTTTTAACCTAAATTCTCAAATGAGCATTCCCACCACAAATCCCAAACCCATTGCTCGTTGCTGATGATGCTCTCGGCTGTCGCTGCTGTCACTGCTACTGCTGCTCCTCTGATACTCTTAGCTTGACGGGGGAGGACGACATGCTCCACCATTGCTCCCCCTGGTTGTGGATGTCATCCCCACCCGCTCGATTCGGCAACAGGAAGGGTTGAAAACCCGTCGCTAGCGAGCTGGACACAGTTTGAGACCACGTCTCTAGCCCCCGGAGTTAAATAGAAGTTCAGTTTATTTGTCATCATTTGGAATTTTACAACTCATAATCATTACTGCTTTTGTTTATAAAAAGTAATTTTTTATAGTACAATTTGTACATTTAACGTTATGGTACAAACTGGACATGTAGACATTTTTGGATGATTTTCTAAAAAGTTTTTTTTTCTAGTCACTAATATTCATATAACACATTTGAAATGTTTCTATGGTATACCTTAGGTCAAGGTTAGGGTGCTAACATCTAATTTATTAGCATGTTGCTAACAATAACTTAAACGAACATAAATATTTTATTTTATTGACTTTTTATATAGAAAGGGTTTATCATAATTTAATATTGATTTTAAAGGAAGAGAGATAGTTGTCATTTTGAAAAATTATCAGAGCAACAAGTGTGTGGACCATAATTATCATAAACCAAACCAAAAACAGGACAAACCACACCAAAAAGATATAAAGTAGAATGGAAAGCTCATAATGCATACAAGAAGTTCTCCACACCACAAAACTAATATAGCACCATAAAACTTACCTCATATATCATAAATCACACCAGAAAACTTAGAACATGCTAAAAACGTAATAAACACACCACAAAACATATAAAATAGACAAAAAAAAGTCATAAAAGCATACTATAAAATATGGAAAGCACACCACAAGTTCCTGCAAATCGCTCCACCTCTGTTTGTACTTCGTAGATGGGGAAACAAGATCTGGGGTAGGGATGGTCCAATATGTGTATCTCCTGTGTGATAGCTTGTTGTTGATATAATTTCCAACACAAGCTACATGTGACTCGATCATAGAGAATGGTTTATTCAGGTTCAAGTATGCATGTGTTTATCCTTCACTGTTTGACTTTGAGTTTAGTATTTCTTGGCCTATTTTACGCTAGGTTGTGCTTCGTTCCTCGGACTTCGTGTCAAGTATTGAGGAGCAGCAGGATAACCTCAAGTCGCGGGCTGTTGTAAATGTCACGGCTTGAAGATGTGGCATCACCATCAAAGTCGTGACTTCCATCCCAACACGATGCGAATTGATGAGCATTAAAGAACACGGCCGTGTGCAGGCTGGTTTTGCAGATTATAAGGAACGACGAGCAGTGATGAACACATCCATTTCGTGGCTATGTTTCGTGAGTGTGTTTAGGCTGCTTCTGCGAGTTTTGAGAGGGGAGAGTTTAGTTTTTTTACCTAAAACACCCAAGGGGAATTTCAAAGAGAGGGAGAGGAACCTATGAGTGTTCTTGGAGCTAAATTAGAGGTACTCGTCCCCATTGGGGCGAGAAGATCAAGTCTAGAGATGAAAATTAAAGATCTTGAGGTTTATATTGTATTCTCCCTCTTTTCTATGGAATAGTTCTCCTTCACTTAGGTTTTGATGAACCCTAGCCATGTTCTAGTTTTGTGTGGTTGAAAATTATGTTTGAATGATTCTTACGCATGATTTTATCATGAAATTGTGTGGGGTTGATCACACTCTCCATGGGCTATCTAGTGTCGAGAATATTCAATTAGGGTGATTAGAACAATTCTCAATTATTCATTGTGGGTCAATTGATCGAGTGTGATATTAGACTACAATATCGTATTGGATCATTGCTCCTTTAGTGGGAGTCTAAATTGCATGCCCACAAAGTGCGAAGTATACTTCGTTGGGGAATCTGTTATGTACAAGAAGACTGCTATGATACATTGAGGATTCTATCAAGGCTCTCTGTCTGTTAGATATTTGGGATTGCGATTAATGTCTGTAAAACTGTCACAGCAGAAAACTGACACCCTGGTGGAGAACTTAACAAAGTAAGTGCATCCTTGGAGAGCAAAGAAGTTGTTGTGTGCAGGGCGATTACAAACTAATCTTGGCAGTCTTGATGTGAATAATTCAGTACTGGTTGCATATCTTTATCTTGCCAAAGAAGGTTCTTAAAAGGATACCACAAGTTTGCTCAAACTTCTTATGGCATGGTGACAAGGTGGAGAAGGCAAAAGTAGCATGAGATAGGTTGGCTAGACCTAACAGGGAAAGGGGATTGGGATTGAAGGACCTGGATTTGTGGAACGGGGATTGTACAACCAGATTGCTTTGGTTATTTCTAATGGAGGCAGATGCAATTTGGATCGCTTGTATGCAAGCTGCTCACAAATGTAAGCGAACTTATTTGTGGCCAACGAAGGTTTCACAGAGTAGTTCATGAGCATGAAGGAGGATCCTGAAGATTAGAAACTTGGTTAAACCATTTCTTTGTAACAGAAATGACTTAGTTTTCTAGGATACTCAAATAATGTTGAAATACTATGTCAATAAGGAATGTTACAGTCTTCTCCCCAAGGTTCAAAAAGGCGTTAGGCGTAAGGTGGGCGTTGAGTCTTTGCCTTGCGTCTAGCTCGCCTAGGCGTAGACTAAGCGTGCCTACGCGTTGGAAGAAAAATAGTTATTCGCACTACATGATGAATGAAATAATAATCTACAACACTTCCTCACTTCAGTGAAAATGATTAATAACTTACACAACACTTAATGACAAGAACATAGCTCACGAATTCATAGAATCATAGCTCAATAGCTCACAAAGTTCTTGAACTGTTGAAAATATTGCAATGGAAAATTGATTTCGTAGTTTATGTTAATTTGGTCTTTAATAGTGACTGCCTAGCTCCATCTAGTAATGTTTAGGGGAGACTTATATGTCGCTTTACTCCATTGACGTGTTCCGGTATCTAATTAGACTCGAAACTCCTAGGCGAGGCGTTTTGCCATTGCCTTGCGCCTAGGCGTGCCTAAGGGTAAGGTTAAGCGTGCTTTTTTGAACCATGCTTCTCCCTCGTAAATGAAGAAGTGTCTTGGTATAGACTGATTTGCATCCCTATCGAATAGATAATCCAATGAGAGCCGTCATGAAACAGAGAACAATATATTCATTCACATCGAAGGCCAAGCCCATGTTTCGCCCTATACAGAAACATGTTGAGATGTAGCAGTCGGTTCGAGACTTGTAAAGGCTTTATGAACAACGGAATCTGGTACATGAGGGAACGAAATTTATTTTTCACATCTTCTATCCCCCCCTAAGAACCCAAATTATTATCATCTATATAACGAGGTTCCAAAACAAGCCCGGTATTGCATGAATCTGAATGAGGCCAACCCTATATTTCCTTGTACAGCAGCTGATACTTGGGTATTCGCTCAGGAGGCAAGGGGCAGCTCACTATCAGCTTGCCTTTCATGGCTCCTCTGAATACAGCCTGCAAGAAACAGTAGCAATATTTTTGTTCAGCTTCAACAACATGCGGTGATCTGAGAAGCAGAAAGAGTGTCTACCGTCAATAGTAAATGCAGAAACATTTTATACAGAAATAATCCACAACGAGTTCTGCACTACGAGGCTAAAAGCCACAGCAGCCACTTTGTTTCTTGTCAGCAAATAGCTAACCATTACATTTTCCCTATACTATGCACAAGACAGCAGACGTACAAGACCTGCAACTACCACTTTCACAACAATATACAGCCTACTTCATACCCTTTTTCAAATTTGGTTAGGCAGAGAGGTTTCATTCTCAAAGTATTTAAACTTGGCAAGCCGTTTCTAGCTATGTTCATCTAACTGCTTATGTTTCCTGTACCGAATTATGTTCCGAAAACTCGTATGGTTTTTCTTCACACTCCAATACTGGCCGACTAAATACTCAAACTTAGGAGACAGTAATGCAGAGGAAGAATGATGGGATACCTATGCTTCTTGAGTTTGAAGCTACCTTCCAGGCTTCCCTACGAATGTGCCCATCCAACCCGATTCCTAACACATTATAAGACACATGCCTTTTTCATGTTCATCACAATTCACAAGTTATCTATTGCCATGCTAACTGCAATCAGTCGCCACATCAGGGGAATCTAAGTTTCCCCACCTATTGCTATAGCCTTAATCTTGACAGTTCATAGAAACACACCCACTCCCCCATCTTTCTTCATTCAATGGTTCAAGAGACTGACTAACAGTTTTACAGTAGTAACTGAGACAAAACAAAAGGCATACCTCAACGACATCAATGAAGTCTTGTTTTGTATGAAATGCACCAACCCATTTGGTGTGATCAGCAGTCCTGAATCAGCAAAACCCAAAGAACAGAACAGACCAAACTTTACGCATAAATGTTGGACAATCGAGAGGAACAGAGAGATACACAAACGCAGAGGAGAGAAATTTTGAAGTGGGGAGGGAGGATACCCAGAATCCATCTTCATGTGGTGAGCGTTGAAGAAGAAAACCGAGGAAGGAACCAATGTGATGTCGAAGTACTTGACGTAGACCTGGACATCTTCAGAATCGATGTCCACAACGGCGACGGTTGCGAATTTGGAGACCTCGCGCGCAGATTTAGACAGCTGCCGGAACATGGAATACAAAAAGATCAGCCCATGGATGTAGAGAGAGAGAGAGAGAGAGGGGAATGTTGTGAGGATTCATACAATGTCGTCGAGCTGGAGGCAAAGGGCATCGGAAGCGCGACCGAAGCGGAGGACGAGGACCTTGTCGATTGTATCTCTGATGATGGAGTCCACCTGCTTCTTCTTCGTCAGATTCGGCAGTAGATAGCTCATTCTCCCTCGCGCCTTCCTCGCGGGTAATCTTCGGCTCTGGCTCCCAGATTTTCACTTCCTCGGTTGATCATCAGACGAGCAGGTATCAGCGGCACCCCGCCAAATATACACGCCGTCCACAATTTTCTCGGATCTTCGCAATTTCGCCCCGTATAGAATTTTCATTGCAAAAGCTTCCTTATTGCCAATGTTGACCCGCCGGTTGGCTGGGTTTGACTCTCATCCAGTGAGAAAAACGGGCCACTCTGATCCAGTGAGAAAAACGGGCCGTACATATTTATCGGGTCGATCCGCTGTAAGGTATCGTATTGGAGGTCAAATAACGTCGTCTTTCTTTTGGTTTGTGAAATGTGCCTATTTTTAGAATTTTCTTTTTGCTTAACCTAATCTTTGGAATTCTAAGTTGAACATTTGAACATTAATGTTATATAAGTGTGTGTGAATTTTCACTATATGGTGGATCCAAATACGACATGTTATTTTCGTATAATGTTATATGTTATTACTCATATGTTTGATGAAATTTTATATTATTCATTAGGGCTGGTAATCGGGTATCCGGTTAACGGTATAACCGGAAATCGAACCGGTAACCGGCGGTAACCGGTATACCGTTAACCGGTGTGTGGCGGTACTCGGATGGGTGAAAGGAATAGCCGGTATACCGACTAAGTTTCGGTATAATACCGGCGGTCAGCCGGTTTTACCGATACCGAGAATCATCAATTAATGTTAACAAATAACCCTCCCCCAGTACTCCCCACCCTCCCTTCACGGCTTCACCTGCTTGCGAGAAGCTCTGCATCCCTTCTCTCCTCTCTTTCTTTTTTCGTTTCTTCCCCAGCAATCTCTGCACAAGAAATCCCCAACCTCTCCAAATCAACAAATCTTTCTTTTCTTCCCCAGCAACCTCTGCACAAGAAATCCCAAACCTCTCCAAATCAACAAATCCAAAACCAAAGTTGCATGATTCTCAATCTCAAATGGCCACAGCCCACTAAAAATCCCCAATCCATGCGCTACCTTTTCCAAATCGGCAAATCCCCAATCAGCCGATTCCCGACCCCAACTCTCTCAGACCGGAGATTTCCGACCCCGGCCTCCGATGACGGCTTCGCAACCTCCGACGGCGGCCTCGCCTTCGTTCCCGAGTCCCGGCCCCAACCTCTGAAGGCTGCTTTACCTTCGTTCTCGAGTCCCGACCGCAACTCCGACCAGAGATTCAGCAGATCTGGAGATCCACCGCTGCCGCAACACCTTCGCAGACGGCCGGATCCACCAGCGACGACTGCATGCACGAGGGAGATGGAGAGCCGCCGTGCGCTGGAGACGCTACTCTGTCTCGAAAGTTTCTCCAGACCCCTGCTTCTGCTCTCCGTGCTCTGCAAAGAGTGGGTCGGTTGGGGGAAGATGAAGAGTTGAAGACGAAGAAAAGAGAAAGGCTTACCGGTTTTCGGATAACCGGGAACCATAACCGTTACCGACAATCCGGTAAGCCGGTTAACCGGAAATTACTCGGTACCGGTAGTCGGATTCAAAGCTGGGTATGTCGGTAATACCGATAACCGGTAAATCGGTAACCGGTTATACCGATACCGACCGATTACCAGCCCTATTATTCATATATGTAGGAACAATATAATGAGGTTTACTATATATTCGGGCTAAAGCGATTGACCCATTAACCGTCAACCCACTTGCTCGACTGGGCCAATGAGCTAAACCGGTTTGATAACCCAATTGCACACAGAACACACACCCCCAGGCCCCCACGCAGGGGCGGACCCAGGGAGGTTTAGGGGTGTCCCCGGACACCCCTAAATTTTGGGAAAACGATTATCCAACCCCCGGTGGTAATTTACGTATGGACAAAAAAATATAATTGATAGTGAGGGACACCCCTTAAATTTGAAAAAATGATTATCCTACTGTCATTTGTGTATAGGAATATAAGTGGTAGGTTGGAAAATTCAAATGTAGAACACTATTATTATTAATAAACTTAATTTCTGTTGAGCTAAACTCATTTGTTGTTCGATTTTGAACAATGTGTAATAGTAAAATGGCATTCCCTATCTCTAATTATTTTAAAAACCTAACAATTAAACTAATTTCAAACTACCCTTAATTTGTATTGATTTTATGATTGTACGGCAAGTGTTGAAATAGTCTTTCAGTTTTGGGTTACATCAAGAACAAGTTTACAAATCGAATATGCGATAAGTTCGTGAATGATTGTCTAGCTAGCAGTGTATATAGAGACAATTTTTTTAACACTATAGACACCAAGTATATTCTACAATTATTTCCGAATATGAAAACATATCATGGACTTTTTTTAACCTAACGAGTAAGGTATTTTCATATTTACAATTTTATTTTTATCAATTATTTTTATTTTTTTTAATTTATTTTTTAAAAGAGGACACCCCTATGAAAAATTTCTGGGTCCGCCACTGCCCCCACGAATACTTGTGCACACCTAACCTTCAGGGGTCATTAGAATTTTTTGTCAGAATCATCTCAACAATTACATCTAGTGATTTTTTCAAAAGTTCATCCATCTATTATCGGGTAAATTGCAAGGTTGGTCACTGAAAGTGTTAATATATTCATGTTTGGTCACTAAAAGAATTTTATTCCATTCGTGGTCACTGGAAGTGCTTAACGTTTCACGATTGGTCACTCTCCGTTAGTCTCCATCCATTTCCGTTAACACCATTAGTATTTTGCTGACGTGACTAACAGCAGTGCTGATTCACCCAATTTAAGCCTGCCACGTCATATAATTTGACCAGCCACATAAAAAAAACCCACATAACCCGACCCCTGCCTCTCCTCTTCTTTTTCTTCCACGTTTAAATCTCCATCTCAGTTTCTTCTTCTCCTTTCATTGCTGCCTCATCAATCATCATCATGGAAATTTCTATTGGATGAGGAATCAGACTCGGTCTCACCTAGATTCAAGAAATTTTCTCAACCCACTTCTCCTTATGACAATCTGAACAACCAAACTCATCTTTAATTGAGCGGAGAAGACAACTTTTTGCACTTTTGGCCAAAAAACTAGAGTAGACCATGTTTGGGAACTGTTGAGGTTTTTGCTCACGCTGGAGGGGGGAAGAATCAGAAACATAGCATACCACGATTGGGGATCTGGTATGACAATAAGGATTCAAAGAGGCGATATTCTAACGATTCACCAACGGTGGTGGAGGATTTTGCGGTAGATCTTATTCTTGGTCAGTCGTCGCCGCTTGCTTTTCATCTTCACCTCTTTTAAAGCTTCTGAGAAACCCAGATACTGAAATCGTTCGATCTGTGTTTGTGGTGATTCGCCGTGCTCATCGGGATGGCATAGCACCTCCCCATGCTCATGTTCACCCCGTAAAATCTAGACTCATCGACGATGTCTTCGTACCAGATGCAGAGGTGGAAGGATGGTGGATTCTGCAAATTTTGTTGGTGTTGCGATTCGCTGGCTCTATGACAGATTCAGGCAATGCCTGGCCATGATTGATGAAGCGGCGAGCTGATGGTGGGATAAAAGAGAGATGCGAGTGAATTTAGTGTTTTAAGTGGGGTGGAATAGAGGAAGAAGAAGTAGGGTGGCCTATGATGAATTTTGCAGGAAAGGGAAGAGGAAGAGTCTGGGGAAGAAGGAGATGGATCGGGAAAATGGCTCCTTTGTTTCTTCAATTTTAATTTTATTGGGTTGTTCTTAGGTCAGCTCGTTTCATGGGTTGGGATCACGGGTTGGGTTGGGAGAAATCTGACATGGCGGGTAGGGTCTCATTTTTTGGGTTAAATTAGGCTGATTGGGCAATTCTGTTAGCCACGTCAGCAGATAACGGACTTTGTTAACGGAGACGGACGGAAGCTAACGGAGAGTGACCAATCGTGAAACGTTAAGCACTTCCAGTGACCGCGAATGGAATAAAATTCTTTTAGTGACCAGACGTGAATATTTTAGCACTTCCAGTGACCAACCTTGCAATTTACACATCTATTATCTATATACATTGAGTACATTGAATTTCAGAGTTTTTACGAAAATTCTTTCACCTTAAAATGCATTTCATAAATTAAGGCTTTATTATTTTTTTATCGCTCATGGAACTCTCTCGTTCTTTATTGATATTAGATTTACTTAGAATGTTACATTACACCTCTTTAGGATTCAACGTCTTTATTGAGATTTGCCCCATCATTTTTCAAGTGGGACGCAAGAGGCTTTGAGACCGAATCTCATGAGACTTCTTGAAATGAATTCTTTGTCGTGTCTCTTTATCAAGACAAAACCAAAATTTCAAAGGTCTCTCTTCATGGATGTATTGATGGTCGTCTATGATGTTTCATTTGATTTCGATAAAAAAAGAAAGAAATAGTCTCTAAGATGGCACCACAAACTATATCAAGTCAATGAACCTTCCTCAAATGTCTTATCAAATGTGATGACTTGATACTTCGTGTTATCGATGATAACCTCAATTTTAATGAGAACTTGGAATGGACCGAGTCTTAGAAGTAATTATCTAGTTTATGACGGTAAAAAAGGGCTAGTAGAGAGGCCATCCAAATTTGGTTTTTCCCCCTTCCTTTTACAGTTTATCTTAGTGTTTGAATAAATATCTATTGAATGTGTGTCTTTCTCATATTGTGTGCTTTAACCCGCCTTAAAATATTAAAATGAATTCAAAATCGATCTTTTTTGCCTTCTCTATTGGTTCTTCAATATGATAAACTTATTTCTATATACTTTTACCTCGTGTCACGTACATTGGGAATAATGTGTTGTATAAGTGTAGAGCTAATGTAGTTTTTACTTGTATACTAATGTTTGTATGTTTTATGTGTTAGCTTTTTTATTTACAACGAAGCTGTTTGCACTTCGTAAATGGAACAAAGTGTAGGATATACGATACAGACTACAAAACCTACGGAGTCACTATAAATAAATAAATGGATTGCATATAGGTCATACCTTATATGGTGATTGTGAATGATGATTTAACATACTTGTGATTGCTTGTAGCCTTATGTATATTACCAACTTTTTTCAAAATGAAGGGCTCCAAGCGAAGAGGATTGCTTGAAGCCTTGTATATATTCCCAACATTTTTTCAAAATTAAAGGCTCC